CTATTAAGGTTATTCTCATCCAAATTATACTTATAATTGAAATTATAATAACCCACATGCATTATCTTGCATTTATTATAATTTAAACTCACTAAATGATCTAAATTCTTTTGTAAATCACCAGCATCCTCTTCACAGATAGCAACACCCAAGACCTTAATATCATCTGCAAATTTAAGTAATTTATTAACTATCCCTTCATTGATGTAAATCAAAAAAAGCAAAGGTCCTAAGACTGAGCCCTGAGGTACCCCCCTGTGACATTAATTCAGTTTGACTGAACTCCATTTGTAACAACCCTCTGCTTTCTTCCATCCAGCCACTCTTCTATCCAATTTGCTAACTTATCCCCCACACTTATAGAGATAATTTTGTACAAACCTTTTAAGTGGCACCTTGTTAAAGGCTTTCTAAAAATCTAGATACACCAAATCTACACTCTTACCTTCACCTACATAAGCAGTAACCTTTTCAAACAATGTCAAAAGATTTGTAAGGCAAGATTTTTCCCTTAGTGAAACCATGTTGACTATCTAATAAAATTCTAAACTTTGTTAAATGACTTAGCAGAGCATCTTTTAACAGACTTTCCAAAACGTTTCACACAGCTGATGTAAGACTAATGGGTCTATAATTACTGGGACAATTCTTATCACCTCTCTTGAAAAGAGGAGTTACATTAGCTAACTTCCAATCCTCTGGTACCTGCTCACTACTGAAGGACTGACAAAAAATAGTAGCAAGTGGCTCACATATCCATCTTTAACCTCCTTCAAAACCCTTTGGGAAATATTATCTGGCCCATATCATTTTTGAAACTTCCCAATTTTTTCTTAACCAGCTCGGCCCGGCATGGCCAGGTGGTTAGGGCACTCGACTTGCAATCTGCGGGTCGCGGGTTCGAATCCCGTCCCACCAAAACATGCTCGCCCTTTCAGCCGTGAGGGCGTTATAATGTGACGGTCAATCCTACTATTCGTTGGTAAAAGAGTAGCCCAAGAGTTGGCGGTGGGTGGTGATGACTAGCTGCCTTCCCTCTAGTCTTACACTGCTAAATTAGGGATGGCTAGCGCAGATAGCCCTCGTGTAGCTTTGCGCGAAATTCAAAACAAACAACCAAACTTAACCAGCTCAGAATTAATGCAGTCATCTTGTTTGATCTCATTTCCATTTATCAAATGACCAAGATGTGGAATACTGCTTAAATCTTCAGTTGTAAAAAACCAAAGAAAAAGTAAAATTTAATAACCCAGCCATCTCATAATCATCAGATACTAGCCTTCCTTTATCATCCCTCAAGGATCCTATCCTTATCTTAATATTTTGTTTACCCATAATGTATTTAAAGAAATCCTTACTGTTAATTTTTACATTTTCAGCCAACTTTTTCTCATACATCCTTTTTGATGTCCTAATTTCCTGTTTCACCAACTTTCTTGATATATATATATAATGTGTTTCCACAATTAACTGTTCAGGAGATACAGAGTTTGACAAACATACAGACATTTAGCTATATATATATGTGTGTGTGTGTAGATAGATAGTAAAGCAGTACCTTTTCACTGGTTCATCAGTGGAAGGATATGCAATATCTTTCTCTTATGTACTGTAGCAACAAAAGCCATGGTATTATTGAATACAATGTTTCCAGATATTGTAGCATATTGAGAGATTGCAACTACTGTATCTTTCATATGACTACTAGATCTCTAGCTGTGATGCTTTGAGGACATATATATATATAGAAAATGTTCATAATTTCAAAATTAAGATCATGCAATGAAAGTTGCTTAAATTTTAACTGTGCATCATTTAATACACTTAAGCCCATTGTCAACATAGTTGTACTTAATGCAGTATTTGATGCCATTCCTTTGTATTGAGACCTAACATGACCTGATGGTTAGGGTGCCTGACTTGCAGGGTTGAAACCTGATACTAAAAACATTTGCCCTTTCAGCTATGGGGGCCAGTGTAATATGATAGTCAATCCTATTATCTGTTGGTAATCAGTAACTCAAGAGTTGACAATGAGTGGTGTTAACTATCTATCTGTTAAAAGTTAGTGATGGCTAGCACAGATAGCCACTTAATAGCTTTTCTTTAGATAAGCTTCAAGTACTGAAGAATGGAGTTTGTTGAAATACTGTTTCGTCACTCATTGTTTTAAGGATTTAGATAAATTAGTTTGGTAAGTTGTTTGTGCATTTTCCATAAAAATAACAGTAATTCCAAAAAAGATAAATATGAGACCAATGTTGAACTTATCTGAAAGTTACATATAAAAATTAATTTATAAAAATGTTCATTGTAATTTTTCATAACTATTTTTGTTTCATGTCCAAGTTTACAGTTCTTTGTTTCTTCCCTCATCAATTACTTCTAATAAAGTCATCACTTCTTGCTTTTATTTTCATAAATTTAAAATACATTTTCCTTTCTTTTCATAATTTAATGAGCCATGTATTTTACAACAGCTTTTATTTTACAAAAGTAAGTTTATGCCATTCATTGTTTACTTGTTTTTAGCTTTGTTACTTGTAGCTACAGCTGTAAATTTTCAAACCCTATTTGCAATAATTTAGCCCATTCACATTTGTTAGAATATCCACTTGGCAGCAATTCAGATGAAAATGCTGTACACATACCTAGAAACACTGAATGTTTTTATCCTGATGGAAGAACTTACATTGTATACAGGAGTTTGTCTGCTAACTTGTGAGATCTTAATATCTTTTCGGGCACATTGTGAGATCTTCTTCAGGGTTAGAAACCAGTGGTATTTGGACCACTATCCTACTCAAAATAGTATAATGCCGTTTTAACTGTCAGTTTCAATCACCAATCGTAAATTGTCATTGACTTATCTCTACGAATGGACCAGTATCATTACACGTTACATGTACTAACATATAACACTGACTTCACTTTCCTCACCCAAACCTTAACAAATTAATTTAAATTCTGGCAGTAGCATATTTACTATTTCATAACTGGTTCTCCTAACAGATTTGACCTATTCTTTTGTCGCCACTTGATCACAGATGGTAAATGCATGTTGCACAACACTGGACACTTTTTTATTTCTAACATTCATATGCTCTTTTGTATACTTGAAGCATTAATCAGATGTAACAGCTTGAAGCACCGATATAGGTAAATGACATTAGAGTATTTGAGCATTGTGATGATATCTTTAAAAAAATAAGGTCCTGTACTCTTGAGGGTTTAAAAATTCTTATCAGTTTAGTTTATAGGTAAGCCTCCTTAATTAAACTGCTCAGTGAAAGATAAAACCATAAAAACTTCTTTAGATATTATTGTACAACTAACTCTGTTCTTTAGTGGTGGAAACTTCATTTGTCAATTTTTTATAAATCTTTTCCAAACTTAAATCCACAAATAAATTTTCTTTAGAAATATTTGGATATTGTTGACTTCTTTATTAAACAGTTATAAATTACTAGCTGAATAATAGGCCCTAAAGATTAAGATTTTAATTAACTTTTCTTTAAATTTGTATGGGAAAAACTTATCCAATTAAAATATAAACGAATGAAAGTGGATGTTTGATAAACCCCAACATGGTTAGTGCAACTAAGCTCCTGCTGTAACTTTATATTAATGTAAGTGTATTACAATTTCACAAAAGTCTTAACTATTCTTAAAGGTCCAAGTAAAGTGACAAGTCTTTAATAAACTGTTTTGTTAAATATATATATATATACACACACACTCAAGCGTATTCATGTGGTATGATAATAAGATAGTTTATTATTGAAAAAGAAACTCTTTAATTATCAGATGTTACCATTCTTTAATCTCTCAATGATAAATTTATTGTTCTACTTATGTGGTTGCATCATAGGTTCAAATCTGGTTACCAAAATCAACCTCTTAAGTAGGTCACTATTCGCAGGCCCTTTGGTTGGTTGTGGGTTAACTTGCATATTCAAAGCATCACTGTTTTTAAGAGACATGCCATGAAAGTTTGTATATCTTTAAATCACAGCCTTTTATAATTTAGAAGTTTTTTTATTTGATGCTAACATATAACCTGATATTTGATATTATTTTATTTATCTGACATTACCACCAGATGGTACCACTACTTATTAAAAGGTGTGACACATCTATAATGATAACTACTTTGTCATTCTTCTTACTTTACATATGAAAATCAATTAGTACATGAAATTAATAAATCATTTTATGTGATTTATCTAAATATGGTTAGAATGAAAATATGTTTGAAATAAATAGTTAAATATATTTTGTTTTCAAAGATTGTTCAAATTACAACATTTCTTTCTGCAATTAAATATTTGAGAAAGTGAATGGTATACAGTTAGTTTAAAAAGAATAACAACAAAAATTTCCAGTAGGAATAGTAACAACTCATTGAGCTTGAAATATAATGTGGAGAATAAATCTTTAACAAAAAGTACTCCTACTGTTGTAGTTAAACTCGTATTGCTATTAAACTCACTCTTTAACCAAACCTTTGTGAATATTGTATCTGGCAATTTTTTATGTGTATAAAAACAAATAATTTTAAGGTTGAAACAGGTGAAACTATTAAATCAAAAAGTGTTCAGAAAAGCTTATGGAGGCAGTGAAAATCTTGAAGTCACTTGTTTCTTTGTGTGATTTAATTTGAGAATTCTGAAGGTGTCTTTATAACCATCATATAAATGTTTATTCACTAGCTGTAGTGTTTTATTGCATTTGATTAAGAAATAGTATATTTTGTTATATATTGGTTGACACTGGTTTTTGAAATCTTGGCAAAGACTATTCCCTTTACATTATCTGGGGTTTCAAAATTTTATCGTAGCAAACAAGCAGAATCATCCTTAGCAAGTACATTTTTCAAAGGACTTAGATTTGATGATAGTAGCAGTTTGGTTAATGGTAATTATATACAGAAACTAATAAAATATGTACATGTTTAAAAACTAAGAGTTGATTTTTTATTACTTTTATAAAGTTATACTTAACTATATTTTGTTTGACCCACAGGTGAAGAGATGATAAAGAATCCATTCCAGACCCGATCAGACAGTTTCTACTTCGTTGATAACAAGTTGATTATGCACAACAAGGCTGACTATGCTTATAACAGTGGCCTTCAGTAGAAGGTTTGCCTTGTCATGTAGGAAAAAACCTTCAGCTCACTAAATTTCACTTGCAGTATGAGTAGATCTGATAGTGTCATGCTTACATAGTGATCAGCATTCCTGCTTTTTTCACCATTTTTTCCATTCACAGTTGGTTTTTGTCTGTAGAATTGTACACATTAACTAGTTTTACTATTAATGATAATGTATTAAGTGACAGGACCATAAATAGGTAGCTAGATACATATTGTTATAAGGTTTGATTAAAGATGACACTCATGTATATGGAGCACAACACCTGTGTGCAACTATACATAGAAATTAGACTTTAGATATGAATGGTACCTATACTGCAGCAAACATAAGTATATGCATTTTGGTTGAAAACTTTCTTTCTTGCCAGGTTTGAAATGAAACAGTTTTTTTTGTGCATTTAGCAGAAAACATTTAATATACTATTGTTACATTTTTAAGATTATACTTCCTTGTGACACACTTGCATTTAAGATGCAATTTAAAAAATTCAAATTTGGTCAGGTAGTATGTTCGGTTGTACATAACTGTGTCAGAAGTAAATATTTGACTTTTTTTTTTGTCAAGCTTATGTTTGGTGCTAAAAACCAATTAATAAGCAGACTTGTATCTTGTGGTACTCATATATAGTAAATGTAAAACACTTAAGACATATTCACTAAAATATTCATATTGATATTGATTTACTAATATACTAGAAAGTTTAAAACATTCCTCTTACAAAGTGTAAGATGTACAATTTTTTGCAAGCATTACAAGTATCTAAAATGAACCAGTTATTATATTATAATACAACACATATGACAGTGAAAATACTTCAATATGCTCAAAGTAAACATGAAAAATAATCAGTTCCTTGAAACCACCATTAGTCTTGCTATAATACAGGTTATATTTAGTCTCATTGCTAAGTTACTTATTATTTTCTTTTGTTTTTTTGGCATAACAGAGTGATGGACAGTTCTATAAATATATATAATATACATGTGTAAATGACACATTTGATTCAGATATTGAAATTATACTGTCTTGTAAGTACAGTAAAACATACATAGCTATTGAACAAACTGTAGCATTTTGGTTGCTAGTATTAAATTATATTATCAAATATAAACTTGTATTGGCTAATACATCTACATGTTTGTATCATTATACATATAATTATTTTTTAGTTTAGATTACTTTAAGTATTTCTACTTTTTGATAATAGTCTTCTTGTGGCTAGAGATTTTTATGCAAAATAAAGTTTAAATTCACAATAACAAATTTATTTGGAAACTAGTTTTGACACTTCCATATGTCCTGCTCAGTTCAATGTTTGTGTTTCTCTCACAAATAAACACTGGACTAAAGAGAACACATGAAAGTGTCAAAAATAGTATCCATATAAATTTGGTATTGTTCTGTTATTGTGGTTTTTAAACTTTTTTGATTACTTTACATGACATTGTGTATTTACCTACCATTTTTGTTCAAGTTCAGCATACCTGAAATTTAAATGTACACAGAACATCTCATAAAATAATTTACATTATATTTTTATGACAACAATATAGCCCCTTCTACTATTGTTTTAGCAATGAAATTGACCTAGTTTGTAAAATAAGTAAAAAAAAAAGTTACAGTTAGCAATTATAAATCATTAATGTCATTTGTAAGAAAAACTTTAAGCATGGTAATTTGTATATCAGCTCTTGTCAGTTAAGCACACAGATGCTCTTTGCAGATTGCCTATTTTACAAGGAAATTAGATATTATTTGATCAGCGTATCTAACTCTAGAAGTGTAAGATCAGTGTAATATTAAACCAACTGTTCTATGCTGTAACTTCTGGCAAAAACATATTGATATCTTGAATGTTCAATTTAAAGCTGGGTATAAATTTCACAGGCAATCATAATATTTATGGAGTAGTGTATAGGATTATGAAAAAAGTGTACTTTAGCAAGAGACACATTTTTATAATACTGGGTTTCATTTCCAGTAATTTAAAACTTAAAATGATTATACAAAACGTTTCAGTAGCTGTACCATAAATGTGCAGAGGTTGACAATTTCAACTTTTCATTTAACAAATTTATGAATTATACTTATATTAAAGTAAATTTTGCATGTAAAAATCTGAGTAGAATTATTGAGTTATCTGTATCTTTATTTGAGTATTTGTGCTCTTTTATATCATACAAAAGCATTGAATGTTTATCTTAGGGAAAGGTAAATCATTAAAAAATGTTAACTGTCAAAGCATATATAATAAATGTAGATTAATGTATAGTGGAATACAATGTAATTGTGTTTCAGCTATTTAGCATTTATATTTCCCCTATTGAATTGTGTCTGTTGATGGGTGCTACAAAATCAAGTTGTTGAAAGTTTCACGTTGGTTTAGACTTGCAAATACAAAATCATACTCATTTGCTCTAAATGTCACAAATGTATACATTATAGTACTTCAAAATCCTTAATTGATTTTAGTAGTTAGAGGAAATGCTGTCCACTTTGAATAAGAATTGAACAAAATCTGTTTGATGAATACAAATAATGCACTATGAAATATCAAGGTCAGTATGAAAATGTAGTTAATGCATTTAAATGTTTTTTTGCTCCATGTTTCTCCATCGTGTAATAAGAATTTTAGAAATTTTTGAAACATTATTTTTGCTAATATGTAAACATTTATAGTACTTTCACATTATCCATTGGTTTTTCACCAAAGATAGCTATTCATGCTATACTAATATTGATATGAAACAAACTCCTTAATTTCTGATATTACAGGAGCATATTTCAAGATTTACTGACCAGGAAAGTAACTTATGTTCAGGAGTTATTAAAATTGATTTCAAATTTCATCTGAAAATAATAGCTTTTGGAAGATATAGAAGGTTTGTAGTACAACATTTGATGATTAAGTTGGCTGATTGATTTTTTACTCAGTGCAGAGTAATTATGTTTTGTGACTGTTGCCAATCCAATCCATTTGGCCTTTTTTAAATGAAATGTTTTATGTTCATTATATAAACCATTAAAGTCTTGATATCAGTGTATATTGGATGTTAATCTACATAAACCACACAGACACATGCACACAAATCGATATATATATAACAGAAAATACTATTATGTTATTACGTTTGTTTCATAACTTGACACAGTTTCAAGCAATTGTATATGTAGCATACAAAACCTCATAATGTACTTGAATAATTATGTATAATTCCATTCATAACATGCCTCAGGGTAGTTAATCCAAAAGAGTTGATCTCTTGAATTTTGGTTTTCCATTAAAGATATACGTCACTTAGGTATAAAAAGCTTCAACTAAAAGAAAAAGAATATAACACAATAGCCAATTTTGGTACTTTTTTCCTATAGTGATTGATTTATTGCCATGATCTAGAAGGTGCTTGAACTTTCAGGACATTATATTTAAATAATAATTTAAGAAAGGGTAAAAAAAAACAATACAAATAAAAAAACAGTGAAAAGATACTGATATTTAAATGCCAGATCGTTTTCTCTGTAAAACACTATTTTATAATTTTGTTTGTTTTGAACTCTGTTTTTAATTGTAGCTAATTTGTTTATAGTTGTTTTATATATGATTTGATATTATGTCTTCTATTTAAATGTGTTTATAAACATAAAGAATTTATTTGAATTTGCAAATATTGCAATTTTCTATTATTTTTTTCATGTATTCTCTGTCAGTTACAGTTTTTAAATTTGTAGAAATTTGATATTTAATGTTACATGCTACAGTGGGTGACAAAATATGGGCTTCTTTACAGCTATCTTTACCAAATTATTTAGTTGTTTCCTTGACTTTCATTATAACAGTTTTAAAAAGTTATCCAGTTTTTGATATTTATAGGTTTATACAGAAAGGTGTTACATTCAAATCTGTTTTTTAGCATTTGTCTCAGTAAAAGCATGAGTTTTTTAATTTTTACTATTTTATTTTTATTATCTCTTTATTTTATCAGTGTGTGAGCTAAAATAGTATTTTTGTTTTTGAAAGTTGCTTATGACGTGTTCGTGTTCGTAACTGGAACTTGAAGGAAAACCATGCTTTGAAACATAGTGATAATTCTAGCTGCTGTTTTAAAACTAGTCAAAGCTAGTACTTGCACTAGTAGTGTATTACTTACTTCTCATACTTAGATTAAAGCAAAGTGTCAACTGCATGGTCTGAAATATTTTTTTGTCTTCTCAGTTTTGTATATTATTTTTTAGCACACATAAATGTACAAATGTTTTGTCACAATGTTTTTAAAAACTTGAGTACTTTAAGTTTGTTGTGATCTTTATATTTTAATAGGTTCATTTAATATTTTATCAAGTTTTGTTTTATAATTAAAGGTTTATAACATTTATATTCTGATGGTAGTAATATTAAATCTTAATTATTTAGGTGCTGTATAAGCAGTTTGAAAACATTATTTTTCAATCTATTCTGCCAAATCCCACATTGCATGAATAAAGTCATTTTACTGTGTATTATTGGTTTTGATTGTACTTGTAAAGATATACAATTTATAATGCTTCACAACAATGGCTATATATATGTCTTAATGCAATTTAAAAAGCTGTATGGCAGAGTCTGGTGAAGATAATTGAGTAATACTCTTGTAGAACATTAAAAAAATTGGAACTTTTTCTTTCATTGCAGTCAAAAACATATTATGCATAAAAAGAATATATCATTGTCATTCAGAAATGTAGCTGTGTGGTATATTCAAGTAAAAGTGAGTTAACCATAGCACATTTGGATAGGTCCACTTAATAACAGGAGCTTCAACAACATATTTATAATGAAGTAGTACTGAATCTAAATAACTGTGTTCATGAGAATGATATAAAGAGAATGGAAATAATGTAATAATACAAGTAAAGGACTTTTGTTACAACAAACGTTACACAAACATTTTGTGTATTTGTTTAAAGACACAGAACAGTCACGGTTTCTCTCCACATTGACTTTTTTGAGATTGTATGCTAGTCTGTTTGAATTCAATTATTTCACAGGTAATGTCAAATTCACCCAGAATAGTTACTATTACTCATGTGACTGGTCATTCTTTCTCAAACATAGGGGATATCATAATCTTGAGCTACTACATGACCTAACATTTTTGCACAACATGTAACATTACAGCCATTTTGCCTGTAGGAAGAACAGATGTCATTACCAGATAATGATAAAGGCAGCTAGTACAAAATCAACATAATGAATTTTTTGACCTAATGTTATGTTAAAACTATACATTCAAAATAAGTGATAAATTTATAATGACACAATATAAAAACAAAAAGGTAGAAACTGTATGATACTGTATTGATAGACTTAACCCTGAAATTACCTATTTGTTTTCATACTACTCACTAGTATTGTTTAAAATAAGAGAAGCCTTTAGCTTTTATAGCTAACTGACTGAGGGTCTTTAGATTTTTGGGTAAATATATTGCATCAAATAGTTTCTAGTAGTGTGGTATTCCAAGGATAAATTCCAACTGACCTTCACAATAAGTGGAGGAGAGGTTTGTGGTTCTAGTATGCAGCAGGACAGGTGAAGTGAGATGTTGTAGGTATTCAAGAGGCAAGACATGGTGTAAAGTTGAATGAAAAATATTAATATTTTATTTACTGAAGAAGGACCAATTAAAAGCTAACTGACAGTTTGAGTAGAGTACTATTATGTAGTTAGATTGAATGAAAATGTACTATTTCAATAAAAGCGTAAAGTAAACTCTATTTAACAGAAAGACTAACTGTAATAAACTTTAGTTGTAACAAACTCAATACTACTGATGTCAAATTACTTCAAGAAATACTACATTTTTATAATACCAAAAGTAGTTTACTAGTTGGTTCAACCACATTTATCTTGATTTAAGGGGATCTTCAATTAACATGTTCTTTCACTCACATTAACAATTTTCTTTTAGTAGAACCAATAGTCTTGTTGACAGTAACAACAAATATATTTATAAGCTACATAAGATGATTGTAAAGTAGGAATCTGATCCTTAAATCTAAAAAGAAAAACTGTAGGCAACAATTAGGTTTAAACATACCTTAATTATATGTGCAGATGTGCCCTTTGAATGGGATTTTTCAACTGATTCTTGAACATGCTCTAGGAGAATGTAACAAAATCTTTCGTTCTGATTGGTTTTAAAATCTTAGCAAGGGTCAGTGATGAACAGAGCCTCCAAATGAAAGAGAGCTTAGTCATTCAGAAGCTGAGGCCTGAAATAATTGTGGTTGGAATAGCTAGTAAACTACTTTTGATATTACTTGAAGAAGGATCCACACATAATCAGCAGTAAAAGCATTATGAAGACAGTTAAAAATGAATATGAAATTTCATGGTGAGTTATAATTTTTTCAATGTTGGAACTTTGAAAATGCAAAACTGTTATTACACCTCACTTTCCCTTTATAGGTGATCAATTAGGAAATTGGACCAAAAGAATCCAGGGATATCTGTGTTTGTTAGCATAAGTTCGGTTTCAAAAGTGGGGAGACGACAATTTATGTAACTAGGGTGTATTTGAGAATATTTTATCAAAAACGTATTCTGTCCTAGAAAAAGTACAGAGGACATGTCACTCCTGTCCTCTTAGAAAATTATGCCGATGTCTCTTCTCCATGTGATAATTGAGTAGCAGTTTGACACATGTAAAGGGAAGTAGAACACACTGCGATTATCCATTAAAACAGTAGACAGTTTCTGTGACTGGGGCTAGGGCTGAATTAGCAAGACTGACTGGATTTAATATGATACAAGTTAGAACTGTAGACAATTTTACAAATATGAATCATGCCCATTACAGTAGAATGCGATATGGGTGCTTGTATGCCACAATTCTTTTCATTCTTAACTTATACTTGTTATCATACCTACTTTAATAACAATTTAGAATTTACAAGACAATCTAGAGAAATTGTATAAAAATGCAATTTTTGGTGAAACTGTATACAAATTTAACAGAATAGCAAGGGAAGTACCACCCATTAGTAAAAAAACCACCATCATAGCTAAAACAGATGTCTTCATTATTCACAAGGTTTTGCAAAAACTACCGTAAGGTGAATGAAGTTACAACGAAGGATGCCTACCCAAGGACTGACTGTACTTTAGTTGCACTATCTGAATCAAAGTGGTTTTCAACATTGGAATCTAAAGAGCGGATGTTGACAAAGCAAACAGAGAAAGACAGCCTTTACCACAGGAAATGGATTGTGGAAATTTTTACTGTTACCATTTGGATTATGTAATGCTCCTGCTACATTTCAATAATTAATGAAATGTGTTATGCCTGAAGTACCATGGAATGTTGTACTAATATATTTGGATTACATAATTACAGATGTTAGGACTTTTAATGATGCTTATGAAGTCTAAGGAAGTTTATGGATTGATTAAGGAAAGAGAACCTCAAGCTAAATCCCAAGAAGTGTAGAATTATTCCATCAACAGATGAGTTTCTTAGGACACATAGATAGTAGAGGATTGCCTACAGATTTATCATAGATTGACTGCATCCAGAATTAGCCAACACTAAAGAACTTCTATGAGCTATGAAGATTTATTGTGCTATATTATTATTGTCATTTTATAAAGTTTTTTTAAAAAAATAGCGCATCATCTACACAAATCACTTGAGAAGGCAAATAAGTTTTGTTGATCTCCTGATTGTGAACAAGCATTCAACACATTAAAGAAGGAACTGACCACTATTGTGACACTGGTATATCCAGCTCTGAAGGGTCTACTCATTTTAAATACAGATGCAGGTGATTTTGTGGGAGGAGCAATTTTGTCACAAGTACAACATGGAAAAGAACATATCATTGCCTACTATAGCAAGGCAATGAATGCTATGGAAAGGATGTATTGTACAAGTTGAAAAGAGCTACTAAGTGTAGTTTAAGCCCAGGGTCACTTCCATTATTATCTATTTGGACAAAGGTTTTATACTCTAGACTGATCACGTAGCATTGACGTGGCTGGTGAATTTTTGCAACCCTGAAAGCAAAATAGCAAGATGGTTCCAATAACTCCATAAGTACAACTTTGACATGGAAATGTTTATGAATATTTATTATTCAACAAACAAAAAGAAAATGTAGCATACGTACTTGCACACACGAAAATACAGTCATTTCTATTAGACTGTGGTTAGTCCTACAGTGCTAACGAATATTGGACAGAGCTAAGTGAGACAATCCAGACTGCCGCCACAACAGGTAACATCAACCGGATGTATGACGGCATAAAGAAGGCACTGGGACCAACATAAAGCAAGATGGCCCCCCTCAAATCCATCACTGGTGAGGCGATTACTGATAATGACCGACAGATGGAGAGGTGGGTGGAACACTATTCCGACCTTTACTCCAGGGAGAACAATGTAACCCCGTCAGCCCTTGATGCTATCGAGCACTTGCCGGAGATGAAAGAGCTTGATGCAGAGCCAACCGTGGATGAGCTCAGTAAGGCCATCAACAGCCTGACTGCAGGCAAGGCACCAGGCAGTGATAGTATCCCTCCAGACCTCATCAAGCAATGCAAGGGTATATTACTGCACCCCTTGCATGACGTCCTTTATCAGTGCTGGAAAGAGGGAGCCATGCGCAAGACATGAGAGACGCGAAAATTGTTACTCTGTACAAGAACAAGGGTGAGAGAAGTGG